AGTAAAATTTATTTATAAAAATTTGCAGATCTTTTTTAGATGACAAATAAATTATCTATTAAAGTTATAGAATTTAAAAATTTAATATATATAATTATTAATAATACAATATTTTATAACATACCAAAAGGCATGCTATAATATAAAATTTGACAAAATACATGCTTGTAGTATGCCAAAATTTTTTTGTATATCAGATACCCTAGATAGCACAAACTTTTAATAATATTATATAAAAGATTATTATCAAAAAAAATCAAAAAACTGAACAAGACCAAGGCATATAGCAAAAGCATCTTACCAACCAGGATTGAAGAAAAAGGATCTGCTTAATTGTGATTACTAGAGAACTGGTAACCTATAGACAAAAGTCTCTCCTGGGCCATCTGAATTAGTAGTTTGAAATAACTGAATCAAACTAGAAAAACTGAATAGACAAAGTATTTAAAGAGACACTTCTACCAACCAGATCACCAGAACTAGAGGAAAAAGACTCACTTAATTTGTAGATACCAGAGAATCGATAACTTTCAGATGAAAGTCTCTTCTGAGCTATCTGGATTGGTAGTTTAGGATTTGGAAAATATTTTTAATAGTCTGTAAAGTAGATATTGAGTCTAAATAAACTCTACAAAGGTAAAAGTAGGTAATGGTAATGGTTTTAGCTTGCAAGTACTTGTTCTTGAACTTAATGTAAGTTACTGAAACCTAGGTTAGCCAGATTGTAGATATAGAAAACTCTAGCAGGTTTACCTTAAGGATAAAAAGCTCCCTAAAATAGTTGAAGCCTGCTTTAAAATTCTAAACCGGTATCTGAAAATAAGAATCTAAACCAGATTCTTGCTCGATTATAAAGATTAACTTCATAAGTGCAAAGGGTTTAAATAGGTAACCCCCTAATTGGGTTATAGGTATGACATCTAGTGTAGAACTTAGTAATAAACAAATAGACAATCAAAATTGTACATGTAATTAGTATGTACCCTCCAAATATGTATACTGTACAGGCTCCAATTGGAGCTTAGTGTATAGTAAAGTTAACTAATTAACTAATAACTAAATAAAAGGAGATAGCCAAGAGATCACCTTAACATTGAAAAAAAAAATTATAATAAAAAAATTAATAAATAATTATATTAAATTTGTAATTATATAGAGGGTAATTATATGAAAATTAGACTATATAATTTTTTAATTAATGAAAGTATGTAGCATTTTATTTTTATATAAAACAAATAGTAATACTATACCAATTTTGACTATAAAATTTTAACTCTTCAACTACAAACTATCTTCTAATTCTTTTAGCTAGCAATCAGAGATTTAGATGAACAATAATTATATACTGGGTGATATGAGTATAAGTGGAATAAAATTCCGCTTATAAACATAGAACCTAGTGTATAACTGATTTATACCCTGTAATCTTGATATAGTGACCAGGGTATAATTAAAAACCATTTTAGAGACCGAAACTGAACTGAAAACATCAATAAACCGGTCTTATTAGATACTGGGATGAACTGAACTAGAGATGAACCTCGCAGAGGTAAAATTAGCATAAATCTCGCAAATCATATGACTTCGCGCGAAGTGCGGGTGATCTTTTTATATTTGATAAATCACTAACCGCTAGGATTTTCTTAGTCAAAAATTTACTTCGCGCGAAGATATCATCATCTTTTGCAAGGTACATCTCTAGACTGGACCATCACTAGATCTGGGTTCAAATAAACCCGATCAGGGTTTATTCTGAGTTTAAGTGAATCTGATCTGGGTTCAAGTGGTTATTCCACGGTTCTGGTGTAGTTTATTGATCACGAGGTTCGTTCGTTTTTTTTTGTTTTTTACCTGGCAACTTTTTTGACAATGAATTAGTTAATGTATAAGAAGCATTAAAAAAAACAGATATCGAAATAGGAAATATAAAGATTCAGATCAATATCTGGGCAATAAGTATGAAAAAATATATGAAAGTATAAATAAGAACCGTGGAATAAGTTCCGAGTTAAGTAAAACTAGTAAATCTAATTATATATTGCGGGGATGATGCTGAAATTTCGATTTGAAAATATAAACCCTACTACAATCCACATATATAACCTTAAACATTCAGCTTCAGCCACCAGATATATATTATTATAATACCAGAGATAAAGTAAGAGTTAACTGCCAGCGCCAATACGTACGTACGTACTACGTATTAAAAAAGAAGTACATTGACTCGCTAGGTATTTTATGTTACACCAAAAATCATTAAAACCAGGCACAGATTCTAAAACTGCTATATATAATAAGGATACTTTTAAAATTTTAAAATGCATCTGCTGCACAGTCCCGTGAAGAGATGCTGGTGAAATTAATTTCACTAAGTTTAAATTTCACCAGTGTCTTTAGCCTCATGACTAAGGATTCACGTGACTCACAGATGGTTAATACCAATTTGAAATTAAAAAAACATTAAATATAAATTTACCAAATTCTATCAAAGTTTTATAAAGACAGTGGCAGATGAATATATTTAGGAATTGCAACATTCTATTGCTATGGCTCGTAAGATAAAGAACTACCCAAGCCACATGTCCGTAGAGAAATTCTCGTCACAATTGGAAACGTCATAGAATCTTATCTATCTTATCGTGGCATTGTTAAATTCTGAATTTTGTACGTACACAATCTGATTAAAATACTCTATTGTCAGTATCTCTGAATAGAACTGAAACGTTCTATTATGCATGCTTAGATAAAAAAAACTTGTTTGTCTTCCTGCTTTATATGGTTTTGTGTGACCTTGATCATGTGAATGGCGGACACCACCGATTAACTATATTTGCTTGACATTTCTTTAGTCGCGGACTGTCATTCGTTAGCATTTCGATAATTCTTATACAAACATGAGCGATGGCAGGCATTCTACCTCATCACTACAGTCTTCAGGTACTGAGTTTTTTGGTTTGAGAAAGTACCGTAATTACTAGTAAAGCATCCAAATAACTGATTTTTTTTCGCGTTGAAAACGCTGTCCAGTAGGCGTTACTTCCGCTGAAGAACTATCCGAAAAATATCAAAAATTATTCGCTGAATTTTCTCGGTAAGTTATAGATATTTCATATTTGTTTTTATTCGATTTCACCTTAACTTTTTTTGAATTATTAGGATGAAAGCACAACACTCTGTATTAAAGAAAGCCGTTATTAAGGTTTAAACTTATTGGGTTCAACTTAAGAAAATTTACGGAATTATTACGATAAGACAATAGGATGACAATTAATTTCTTTTAATAGGAACAAAAAACTATTACTTCATTACAAGATGAATGCAAAACCAAGGAACAAGAATTGCGTACCGTATGTTTAATGAATTGTTGATATACTCTGTCAAATTATTGAGAATTCTTCGCAATTAATTCAAAATTTATGTCTATTTGTGCAGTCACTACAACAACTTGATCTTTTAACTTTTCACAATCAACGTTTAACCAAACGTATTGAAAGCTTACAGGATTCGAGTGCTGCGGTACAAATTTTATTGAATCCGAATGTATCTGGCCTTAAAAACATTGTAATTTTCGAATTAACAAATTGATTCTTCTTATTAGAGGTTATCACCCGGTTGGTTAGTGGGTTCGGCAAAAAAAGAACTTGAAAAATCAAAAGTGACTTTAGAGGCTACCACCATAGAACTAAATAGAAAAATTGATGAAAATGGTATAAAAATTTGAATTTAATACTATGTGTTAGGCATGTAATTTATAATATATTTCGCTGCTTTAAATTTCTATTAATGATATCGATTGTATTTTTCAGAAAAGTTACATAAAGAGCTATTTGAAGTTAACAGTTTATATACACAACATGTGGCTTCTCTCCAATCTAAGATATCGGAATTGGAGAAAAAAACGGAAGAACTTCAGGTACCTCTAAGACATTCAACCATATTATATTCTGTTAAACCATTAATTAATATAAACGTTGTTTATATAGATCGAATTAACAAGATCTCATCTTGCTAGCGAAGAGGCTTTGAGTAAAATACGTCAAGCTAAGAGTGATGTTGATAATGAGCTCGACCGAACAAGATTGGAGCTACGCGAGTAAGTTTGCATAAAGATTTTCTCATTCTTGGAATAGAGTTCGGAACCGATTTTACGTTCATATGTTAAAACCAATTAAACTGGTTTAACAGATGAAAAGCAAAATCGGTCCCAAACTCTAGTTTGGACGTCACAATATCATTTTTATACTAAATACTTTATTCTTGTTATAGAACAAAAGCGCTTATGGAAAAGAACGAGCAGAAATTGAAAGAGGGCGATGATGTATTGCAAGCTGAAGTGATTGTACTTCGAGATACGTTGGAGATAAATTTGGGTCTTTCATACGAATCACAGATAGATCAATTTAGTGTCTGTAATTTATTACATTTTTATATTCACTTGAAATTTATGTCGATTGACTTTTTCTTTTTTTCTGTTTACAGGCATTACGTGAAAAATTTGACAGCGAATCAAATGAACTTATCGAAAGTTTTAAACAATTGCAATCAAATGCCCGTGATTATCTAAAATCACTTAAAGAGAAGGTAAAAAATTGTTATTTTCATGCCTTTTTTTTTTTTTTTACGTGTTAACTAAATTATACTGACGTGTCATGTGATACAGTCAGACTCATCTTATGAACTAGGCTTGAAAGTTAAAAGCGCTAGTTTAGTATGGCAACAAAATTTACAAAAACTAGTAGTAAAATTGGCTTCTACCCAAAGTATGCAAAAATAAATGATATCGCGAACTGCTGCGCTACATATTTCAAAAGACTTTTTAATAATAATAATTTCTTTTTTAATAGGCAAAATAACAGAATTAACTTTAGATAACGAAAATCTTATTAAACTCAACGAATCTGATTCGACTAAGATCAAGGATTTAGAAACTCAAATTTCTCAGCTGAGAGAAGAGTTAGATAGACAAAAGGTATACATTCCTGATAACTTAGAAGATATGTAACCGACACCATTTAATTCAAGCAATTTATATTATTTTAATCTACTCAGGCAACATATAATGGTCTAGCGACAGAAATGAATCAACAACAAGGAGGTAATAACGTAGAAAACGGCGTTACTAGTAATGAGGTAACATCTTTACTTGCCAACGGATTGAACGGAATATCGTCGAATGGTGTGAATCATAATGATACATTAGCCAATAAAGATAATTCTGAAACAAGAGAAAATAATATAAATGTCACTTCACAAGAGGAAAATGACGATGACGACGACGACGATAATGGGGTTTGTTGTTTTAAAAAACATTTATAAAATCGTCACCTTATAATCCAGGATTATCATTAACGAAGAACAATTGACTATGATAGTCATTTGTTTATCCTCATGATTCTGAAAAAGGAGAAAGTACCGAACCTTCAGACCAACCAATTAAAGATACCTCACGCCCAACAGCTATAACTGTTATGACAACACCAATAACAAGATCTACAACTGACGACATTGATATTAACGCAAATCGCAATGGTAATTCAAGTATTCTCGAGTTGGAGCGAGATATAGGGGTAATTAGATCATTTTATTTGTAATGATTACACATTCTTTTCATAGTTATTTTATCGTTAAATAATGATCATTTTCGTTTATAATTAGAGAGTTACTAAAAGTGAGGGTGATACTAGACAACGAGAGGCTCTTATTAAAAATCATTATGAATCTAAAATAAACCAGTTAACAGAGCAGGTTAATATTTTATTATTTATTGACAGCATGCTTACTATATTTAACACGGTCTAATCTTGAATAAATTTATAGTTACAATTGTCAGATAGTAAATCATTGCGATTATACAAAGCTTCAAAAATCATTCAAGGAAGATTAGCTGAAGCGGATGAAGGAAAATCACGAGCGGAACAAGAAAAGACAAGGCTACAAAACGAATTGGACCAATTGAAGGTAATGAATGCTCTAAGGGGATACACTGAATTATCTCTACTTGTTCTATTTACCGTGAATTTTTTTGACGTTCCTTTATAATAGGAAAAATTGCGCGAAGAACGTGAAAATTTCAAAACTCAGATTGATGAAATGACAAAATGGATCAATAAACAAGACGAAGCTATTGAAGACAAAGAGCGCCAATTAAAAGATCTTAAAGCTGGGACTTCACGTTATGAATAAATAATGAAAGTTGTTTATTTGTACATTATTCACATTGTATCTTTACATGTATAATAGCAATCTGTAAAAAGAATTGTTCTATAGGTAGATAAATTAGAGAACTTATGGTTTTGTTTTTAATGTATTCTGTTTTGTATCAAACATGATGGTATTTTAAAAAACAATTGTGCTTATGAAAAAGTGACACCTAATTTTAAAACGTTGGGATCGGAAATTTGTATAATAAAAAGCTGAATAGTTTTTACAGCTGTTATCATTCCTGGGACACCTTATGAAAAATTAACCGAATGATTATTCTGCTGATTCGATAAATTATTGATTTCGGCATGATCAATGTAATGTTTATTATTTACGAAGATAGTCTAAAGCTTAGTATGTACGAAGGTGCTAATCGATTTGTAAATTAAATTCACGTGAAACTACAAGGTTTCAAACGATCTTTACTTTCACGTCCTAACTAAAGTTCCATTTCAAATTGTAACTCATACAAAGATCAGTTTAGCTTTTCTTCCATTAAAGTCTTAAGATATTTTGTATCATACAGGTTTAATAGACGTGATTTTCTTACAAGTGGCGGAAGTCTTTCAACGCATCCATATCTTTGAAATTGGTTGAAAACTCGACTTATTGAAGATCTGCTAACACAGCAGTTCGAATTTATAAATTTTTTTCGACTACTTTCCAATACTTAACTAGAGTTATATCGATATTGGTTATCTGGTCATTATCGATTCTGCTGTACTATAAATAGAGGTCATTTAAAGCCTTACAAATCGATTAGCATCTACGTACGTACGTACCTGGCTTTAGACCATCTTTGTAAATAATAAACGTTACATTGATCATACCGAAATAATAACTTTATCGAATCGGCAGAATAATCATTCGGTTAATTTTTCACAAGGTGTCCCAGGAATAATGATAACAGCTGTAAAATTTTACCCTAAAAAATCTATACTTGTCTGACATACTAGAATCGAATCGCTTTTGTATGTAGGTAAAGAAATTTATAAGGTTCGTTAAAAGAAAAAAATTACTAAAGTTTAAAAGACTAAAGCTCGCAAAAGATTTGGTTTTAGTATTTTTAATCATTACAAAATGCACCTATGGTGTTTAACACCTATGCATTCATTATCTCAAAACTGGCTAATTAAGCGGTGTAAGATGTTCTAAGATGTTCTAAGTAAAAATGTTCTACGCTCCCAAAATCCTTCACAAACCCTAAACCTAACTATAAGTACTAACCCTAATATAAAAAATTTGTGTTGAACATTATATATATAAAACAGAAAATTTTAATAAAAACATAACGATAATAGGTGTTTGAACACCATAAGTGCATTTTATATAATATCGATATTTCTTTTCAATTGAAAAAAAAAAAAAACGGATGGCAGTTCAACCATCTCACTTAGCAACCTCTACAACCAATCACTCAAGTGTGCTACCTCACTGCCACCCAATGCTGCAAGTTTTCCCTGCTCTGTTTCCAGCCTCGGGCATTATCCCTGCTATTTAAGAACCTCCTAATCCAAGTTTACACTTAGACCAGAATGTTCACATCGGGTTCAAGTGAGACACTACTCTCAACGTGCGGTGCAAAGAGTTGTGGACCCAAGTGAGGGTTATTCCACCACCCTGTCCTCCAGAAGCAGAGTTACAGTCAACTGCCAAATTGACCGACAACAATATAGATATTTGTAAGTTTATATATTAGACATTTTTCATATCAAAAAAAATTATGGGATTGCTGAATGACTTGAGTGATTTGATTGGCCATATTTAACATAAGTCAAACAGGTGACTTGCACTTGACGCGCGTGAAAATGCATTTTTCGATCGATCAACGAGTTAAAATTAATTTAATAGCCGTGATATCACTTTTTGAAAACAAGTCATTCTGTGAGTCCTACATTTGACCAAAAAAAATGACCGAACAAAAACCTATTCTGCTTTGTATGGGTAATCCTTTATTGGATATTTCCGTTGTTGCTGACGAAACCCTTCTTAAGAAGTAAATATATCCATTAAATAAGAAATACTATTATATCAACCTCATGGATTGTTTTTGAATTTAGATACGGTCTGAAAGCCAATGATGCTATTCTTGCCGAAGAGAAGCATATGCCCTTGTATTTATTTTAAAATTTCATCCTTTTATTAAACAAAGTAAATTTTACATCGAAAAATTTTATAGATGATATTTTAAATTATCTGAAAAATCAAGGTATGAAGAGTTAGTTAAGTCTTACGAACCTCACTATGTAGCTGGTGGTGCTGCTCAAAATGTTGCTCGAGGTGCTCAGGTAAATTGTTATATCACCGAAATTACGTTTATTATAATTAAAATGTTTGACATATGTTTCTGTTAATTTAGTACATTCTTAAGCCAAATTCAACTGTTTATTTTGGATGTGTCGGTAATGATAAATACGCTGAACAGATGCGCAAGGCTGCGCAGAACGAAGGTTTAATTGTTGATTATTTGGTTACCAATACACATCCAACTGGTACTTGTGCTGTTATTATTACTAATAATGATAGGTATTTAAAAAAATTTTCCTGTTGATTACTAGGGATTGGAACCGCCTAAAATTTTTCTTAGTCGTTTAATCGTTTAACCGTTTAATTTGGCCGGCATTAAGATAATTCCGGCCCACGACCAACATAATTCTGCTGGAATTATGGACCAATTTTTAAACGGTTAAACGGTTTCAATCCCTATTGATTACTATGTCCAAGACTAGTTGTTTAATTTCATGTTTATTAAAGATCTCTGGTAGCAAACTTGTCGGCCGCACAAGAGTATAAAGGTTCCTTACACCTTGATCTACCTGAAAAATGGGAAATTGTAAAAAATATAAAATTTTATTATATTACGGGATTTTTTATCTCATCTTCGTATGATTCGATGTTGAAGATTGCTAAGCATGCGGCTGAAACAAACAAGGTAATAATAATGTCTAGCCATAGGTGTGTATTTTTAAAGATTGCTTATAAGTTTAATCTTCTATTATTTTTAGGTTTTTACACTCAATTTATCAGCTCCATTTATATGTCAAAATCCTCAAATGAAAGAAAGTTTAAGCGAAGTTGTTAAATATTGTGATATCATTTTTGGTAATGAATCTGAGGCTGAAGCTTTTGCCGCTTCTGAAAATTGGGAGGTAAATTAATATTCATTTCAACTATTCATTTCAAATATTCATGATCAAGTATCATAATAACAACAGTATTATTCTTTCATTTAATAAATAGACGAAAGACCTTAAAGCAATCGCTTTAAAAATAGCGAATCTTCATAAAATTAACACATCACGTTCTCGTGTTGTTATAATTACTCAAGGTTCTGAGCCCACAATTGTTGCAAAACAAAGCGATGGTAGTGTAAATGAATTTTCCGTAATCCCAATCAATGTTAAAGAAATCGTTGATACAAACGGCGCTGGTGATTCTTTTGTTGGCGGGTTCTTAAGTCAGTATGTGCAAGGAAAAACAATCGAAGAATCTGTTAATGCTGGTCATTGGCTGGCTAATATTAACATTAAACGTGTGGGACCTACTTTTCCAGAAGAAAAAATCCCTTATCCTTCCTGATTGGTCATGAGATCATTTTTTGTTTATTTAAAACAATTTGATTTACTATTTAAAAATAAATAGAATAGTAAAAATGAAATTTGTTTTTTATATGGATTAATAAATTTGTAACTAGAGATTTTTTTGAAATTAATTTCACAAAATTTCACTAAATCATACCAGTTTCACCAATAGTGATAAAATTATTTCGCCATTCTCGTTCTAGTTTAATTTTACTACTGTAGCATCTTTATTTATAACCATGATTACTGTGATCACATTTCATAAAGCCAATCAAATTTCAAGATTAGGGCGTAACGTAAAGTCAACAAAAGCACCTTTTTTTTTAATAATTCAAAATTTCGACTGTGAAATTATCTTTTATATTTTAACAAAGAAAATTGCTTGCTAAATTTTGATATAAATTATATATTTTTTCAGCTCTAGAGATTTATTTTGTTGATTGATTTTTTTTTTTTAAGGGTGGCAATCTTTTGCCTACGTCTTTTATTATGTATATTATACTTACCAATTATGT